ACAAAACAAAAAAGGAATTTTGTTTTTCAAAATTATGTGTGATGCCAGTTAATTGGAATACAAAAGAATCAAATCTTCATGTTGAATATAAAATAGGTTTTGATATCATTGTCGACAATGAAATTAAGCACTAAACCTCGTTGTTGGAGTTCAGAAAGTACTTTCAGGAGCATGATTTTTATGCTGTTGCTGATCTTAGTTAAAAAGGAAAATTAATAATTAAGTTAGGTAATTAATTACAACAGATTGTGTATCTTGAGCCCCAAGCAAAATAAACCATCAAATCAGATCACTAGCCTAAAATAAAGAATGTAATCTTTGTTAGCAATAATATTCCCTCAGCAGAACTTACTTCTAATGACAACATAATTAATTTTCTTATTAATAACTAATTATTATCTAATTTTGGGACTTGGGAAACTTAGTAACATTGCTGAATAACCCTAGCAGCATGATTCATGGCTCTCGTTTCAATCCCATTTTTGACATGGAATCAAACGAAGTGACTGAGCAGCCTGCTCCTGTTCGTTCTCAACCACAAACCACTCCTAACCGTGGCAATCCCAAGAGTAAATCCAAAGGAAAATCGACAGTGGCTGCCAAAGCACCAAAGGCCATAACAGTTCGGAAACCACTCACTGTTCAACTCTCCGAGTTCCCCGTACTTCAGGCTCTCTCTTCAAGACCTTCAAGTTCTCGCTCTACCCTCAGATCCACCCGCCTTCCACCTTGGATAAATCGAGACACTCGGTCGTAGTCATTAAGGAGAATGAAAGTCTGAATATTATGCAGAACCCTTCACCTCTCGTTTCGGCTGTTGCTTAGGGCCATAAGGGCCTATTGGTGATACTCCTGACCAACTAAAACGACAAAGTGAAAATGCTCCTTCCGATCTTTTGAATGTTGCAATCTCTGCGGATGCGATTATCTCTGCTTTAAATTTCCTTCACTCCCATCGTGTTGAAGCAAATGGTTTCTCCGGGGGTATTTGGGTTGTTTGGTATGATTCCATCTCTTTTACTATTGTTGCTAATCATTTTCAATTTGTTCATCTTCATGTCACTAGCATTCGAAACAACTCTCCTTTCCTAGCCACAACTGTTTATGCTAGTCCTTCAGCCAATGGTAGAAAGCTTCTTTGGCCTCATTTGCGAAGCTTAGCCACTTCTATTCGCTCTCTGTGGATCATTTTTGGGTACTTCAATGCTACTCTCAGTCCTGATGATAGAAAGGGTTGCTCCTAGTAGGCAAGACCTAGCAAAGATTTTCAAAACTTACTCTTTGATTATAGTCTCCGTGACTTGGGTTTCAATGGTCTGGCACTTGATCCAGAGGTTCAACTTTTGTTCGCCTAGACAGGTTATTTGCAATAACTATTGGGACGAGTCCTATCCCGAATCTTCTGTTCAGCATCTCCTCCGTATGCGGTCTTATCACAGGCTCATCCTTCTTCAAGTTGGTCGAGGGTCTCATTCGCCAAATAAAAGTATTTTTCGCTATTTTTCTGGTTGGCTCAGGCATGCAGATTTTCTTAACATGGTCAAAGACAGCTGGATTCCCAGCCCTTCCATGACCGAAACTATCTGCAATTTCACAAAGGCTGCCGACTCTTGGAACAAATTCGTCTTTGGCTACTTAGGCACTAAGAAACGCATTGTTATGGCTAGGCTCAAAGGGATCCAAAAGGCCCTCAACTCTCACTCTTCACGCTTCTCGACCAACTTGGAATCCGAAATGATTATTGAGCTTGAGAATCTTTTAGACCAAGTTTTAAAAGTTGGGATACCTAAATACAAGTACTTGAAAAGTTCAGTGACCATTTATATAAATTACCCTAACGACAGTGAAACGGCCGTTATATCGGAGATCATATTGCAAACGAACTAAATGTTTGGTGACTGTATTGCAAGTGTTAAAAGTTTAGGGGACCTAAATACAATTATATTAAAAGTTTAGTGACCATTTGTATACTTTACTCAAAAAATAAATACATAAAATACGCGTTTCGTCGGTGCAATATGGTTGTAATGGGCCTCTTTTAAGCCCTTCAAGTCGGCCTTACGAAGCTTATTGTGTGCCTCTAGCGCGTCCCAAAAAGTTAAAGAGCTAAATTCGGCCTATTCCATAGTATTTAGATTCTACCTTTTCCATTGCGAGTTTAATCCTCGTAAATCTGTTGAAGAATTACTGACTTTAACATTAGATGTAAAATACGTAAGATATTAACAGAAAATACTTTATTTTTTAAGCATACTGCACGCATGATTTATATTGATTTTAAGGAATGAGTTTACAAAATTTTAAAAGTAAAAATATATTATATAAATATACAAATGATATATCTAAAATATATAATAATTTAAAACTTTTAAGGACGGCGGAAAATGAAAAAAATGAGTATGGAAGCTGAGATTTCCAACCTACCTCTCTCGTATATGTTATTTATTGGTATAACGAATTCAACTCCATGATTCATGGATATTATACCAAACATAACACCGCTGTACCAATTAATTAGCACCATCCTTCATTTCAAAGACAAAACTCTCTCTCTCTCTCTCTCTCTCTCTCTATATATATATATATATATATATATATATATATATATTTACAACGTGATATGAACCTTGACATTTTCCCCCTGTCTTCATCCTTTCTCTTTTTCTAATCCCTTTTGCAGTCATTGCTTCTCGCAAAGCCACACTAATCAATTGCTTTCATTGGAGTTAAATGTGGATGGTAAAATTATCTTTAAAATTTTATTTTTTAAAAATATTAATATTTAAAAAAATTATAAGTACTCGATCTAACCTAATTTGTGTCAAATGAGACTACAGTTAAAGGAGGGATAGTTTTTCATTCATCTGATTTGGATATTCTTCACGTTTTTCTTCTCTATGTTAGGTGCTCGAGAATGTCGGAGTGCTTTGTCTTTGTATGTCGTTGCCTCAACTGTTCAAGCTCTTGCTCATCATATTACCGTCAGTCGCTCATTGTTATATTCTATTCATGATAGTCAGAGTCGTCTTGAACATTTTCGGACCCTGAGCGAAAATAAAAAAAATAACCTCTTATTGAAGGAAAATATATTCCATTACTTTAAACAATTAATTTAATATCGTAGAAAAATTATTAAACTTTTTCAAACATCAAATTCATTGTTTTGTTAAGAAAACACCTTAAATACGACGAAGAGAATAAAAAATCGAATGTGGGTACAAATTATGATATGGAGATTTATTCTGAATAATAAAATAGAAAATAAAGAATAACATATTATGTTATCGTTATATTAAGATTGGAGAAGACTAAGAGTTAAAGAATATTTGGTAAATTGAAATATAAGATTTGTAGAAAAAGAGAGACAAATATGATTATATTTAATTGAAAATTAAATGAATGAACGAGAGATATTGAGAAAGGGATGAGAATTGAGAATTTTATGAAATTGTAAAAAAATAGAGGGCTTAATTATAAAGGTAGAAAACGATATTGAAAAAAAAATAGAGGCATCAATTATAAAGGTATAATTGTGATAAAAAAAACTTAGGGACCTCAATTAGAAAGTTAGAAAGTGAGATTAAAAAAACTTAAAGGCCTCAATTATAAAATTAAAAAAGTGGGATTAAAAAATTAGAGGCCTCAATTATAAAGGTAGAAATTGAGATTGAAAAAAACTTAGGGGCCTCAATTGAAAGTGTAGAAAGTGAGATTGAAAAAACTTAAAAGCTTCAATTATAAAGTTAATAATGAGATTACAAAATTAGGGGCCTCAATTATAAAAGTAACAAAAGGGATTGAAAAAATTAGAGACTTCAATTATAAAGATAAAAAGTGAGATTGAATAATATTAGGACCTCAATTATAAAGGTAAAAAATAAGATTTAAAAAATTAAGATGAAAAAATGAGAGCTCCAATTACAAAGATGAAAAAATGGAGGCCCTGAACAATCGCTAGAGCGCTCCCCCTAATAATCAGGTCTGATAATAGTTATAAATATATTTTTCTTGTGACGTTGTTGACGCTATCTTATTTTACTAATGAATATATTTTATTCTTATTTTTTAAAAAATGTAGAGAATCGTTCCCGAACTTAAAATAGGGTACACAATAGGACCATCAAATTCATGAAGCGTAAGATGCGTCAAATACAGCAAAATAGGGTACACAGTACACACTCCTCCAAGGCTTCATAGTTGATCCTATATATCCACAATAACCTAATAATGAAATTGCTCATTACCTCGTGTCCCTCGATAATCTGATCACCCACGTCAGCTTCCCTTTGATTACAGATCTATGGCCCAAATTAAAAAATATTATTTTCTACCACGTGTAAGAACAGCAATCTCTGTCAGTACCATGTCAGCTGTGGTTTTGGAAGAACAAAATGTGGTTAAAATAAATAATAAAGTATGAAATAAGATAAAGAAAAGAAAGATAAAAGAGGTCGTGATGTGTTGGTGCATGATTGGAGCAGTTGGAAGCTAAGGGTTTTGTTAGGGAAATCCGCCATTTTAATTTGTCGTGTTGGATGAAAACGCAGGCAGCTGAAATGGGGTTTGTAATATTATATGCAACAACTAACAAGAAATAAGTTAAGGCAATAAATTATGGTAAAAAACCTGCTGATTGTCAAATTAAAATGTCTGCGTCAGGTTACCATTCCAAACTATTTCACACTTAAACTATGATGTAAAGATTGTTATTATTATTTAAGTAGACATTGACAACAAACGCGAGGAACACATGGTAAAGTAAGTCTGAATGTTCGTTGATGCACTTTGAACAACTCAACAGTATGGACTATCGTATACGATTGACTGAATGATTACTGAGTTGATCACCAAAACAAACTCAAACTTCGCATGTTATAAGTGCGAGGCTCTTTCTGTCTTCTCTCTCGTCAACTCACTTTGGTTGTCAAAAACACTGCATCATCTTCACTTTTTTCTTTCTTTCTTTTGGGTTGCAAAATCACAGGAAGAAGAAACAGAAAATGACACCCGATGACAGTACGATGGTTATTTCTTCGACACGAGAAGATGAGTATGATGGTATTGGTGTCTGCTTTGATCACGATGATGAATGCCAACCTCATCCACATAACTTCTCCAGGTTTTCAACGTCTACTAGTTCCATCCCCACCAACGATGATGATGATATGGGGATGTACATGTCGAGACTGTCAACTGAAAGCTTTGACGCAGATGCTGATGAAGAATTCTCCGACAAAGAGTTGCTTGAACTGTCATCCGATTCCGATGAAGAAACTTGTCATTACTCTCTTCCCGCCATCCCATCTCATCGGAGGAATCGATTGAAGGAGATTAAAAGAAAGAGGAAAACGAAAGACGGGGGTATAACGGTGGGCTATAATGGAAGTAGCTTTAGCGGGGAGAGAGAAGGTATGGTGGTCATCATCAGGCCAAAAGGAGGGAGGAGATCCATGTGTATGGACATGGAGGAAGTGAAGGCGTGTAGAGAGCTGGGGTTCGAGTTGGAACATGAGCATATTTCTCCCACTGCTACTTGGCTTATCTCCGGTCCTGGTGAGTCCAAATATGGCGGCCATTATCTCTCTCTCTAAAATTGCTGTTTATTGGTGATTCATGATTGTTTAATTGAATAGGCTTAGTGAGCAATTTCATTATTTCAGTGCAACTGATGGTAAGTTTTGTGATGTAGGTGATGATCCGAGAGTTGTGAAGGCTCGGCTCAAGGTGTGGGCACAGGCAGTGGCACTTGTATCCACATCTATGCGCTGCAGCTGACCAGCTTGCTTCTCTCAACAAATGCTCATCGACTAGTATTTTTTGTTTCACTTTTGCCTCCCTTGAAATCCTTTTGGTGGGGTAGATTTGGTACTTTTTCTTCTCCATCTTGCTTCCTGTAAAAGCAAGTTTTTGAAGAGCTTTATTCGGCCTTATATCATCCCTTGGGGTTGCCATTCGGGAACCTTATATCATCTTGCGGCAGAGAAAGCAATAATAAAACAGGGTTTTCGTTGTAATGGTTGAAGTAAATAGATTAATCAGCCCAAAATATTAATAGCACCAGTCAGCATTCAGCTATAAGCAAATTATGCACTATAAAAATTTATTTTCAACTCAAATTTTATATCTAGGGCTAATTCTCAACACTTCTTGGAACAACATCCCCCAAAGGCCCATCACAATTCTGCCAAATTTCAACATCAAATAAGCACAAACAGTGGAGAAAAGTTCCCGAATGTTATTAGAGAAGGATTACAAAACTGGCTACAATGGCAAAGGCCCAATACTACACTATGGGTTAGCCCAGCTTGCTTAACAAATTAATGCCGACTGGACTTAACTAACCAACCACTTATAACCACAATTTAATGGTTTTCTTGGCCCAATACCCCATGCTGACCAATTATTTGGGCTGTCGGGCCTACCCAGAATTTATTTTGGAGAATACGATATTTTCTACATTGCACCTCCTTCGGATATAATTTTTAATTGGTCCCCGCGTATTGGGCTTCACGTGGGCCATTATTTTATTAGCATTATAATGACTCCTCAAGTTAAGGTGACAAGTCCATTAAAAAAATATTTTTTTATAATTTTAAAAAAATGAAATTTATAAATTTAAAAAAGGAGAAAAAATTAGGGTGAATCGTCACATAGACGTGACTAGTTCGTTCAGTTCAAAAAATAATAGTTGTTGGTCAACGGGCATACAGGCAACAACAGTCGTTTGGAACTCGTTACCTCGAAGTGACAAGTTCAGTCGGGTAAAATTTTAAAAAAATTAAAATTAAAAGAAAAATGAATTTATTATTTTACAAAATAAATAATTGCAAGAAATAATTTTTACATGAAAATTACAAAGAAAGTTTATCTATGCCTTATAAGTTCTTGACGATGCCAAGGGGTTGTCGGATAACAATACAGCAGGAATCGTCAAGTACATCGGACCATATGAATTGGTTTTTTTCGTCGTCATCTTGTCGATGAGGTGTACTTAACGCACTCTGCAATCCACTTTCGAAATTCGATGATGGATTTATGACATTTGTAGCCTTGCAAAGCTCCCGGCACATAAATGCTAGAATCACGGTGCCCCAACTAGTATTACAGTACACATCAAAGTCTTCCTAGTATTGCAGATATTGTGTGTGCGCCTAACTACCGGATTTGTCCGGTAATAATATCCCTCCGATCACTTGGAGAAAAAAAATGCTCGGGATGCGAAAACAACCAACGCCTCAATAGACTCGTATGTGACTTGGAATTCGGACTTCAACCATATTATCATTACCCGATAGCCCCTCATGACGTCGAATGGTGGTCATTTTCCCAAAACTTGGTAAACCAACATCGTAGGTTCCTAAATGTTATGCCTCACCACAGGGCTCCATTCACCGGAACATTGAGTTGGTAAGCGATGTCTTCCAAATTAATCGTCGCTTCATCACTCGGGAAATAGAATGTATGCACCTCGGGCCGCCAATGTTCGATCAGAGTCTCGATTAACATTGGGTATAGCTTGAAGCCACGTAAAAATATGGCCGGGAATAGACCGGATTGATGTAGATATGTCATCGTTTGTCGATGCGGCTCTCTAGTTGTCATCCCCCGACTGCGAATACTCCATTCATCTTCGTTCAACTCACGTTGGATCGACGATACATGGGAGTTATCCAAGCGCAACATATATTCTCGAGTTGCCTTTTTTGGTATTTTCTCACAACTTATGATTTTTTCCATTTTTTTGGATTCAGGGTTTGATGAAAAACCAAAACCCCAAACCCATATTTATAGCTTACCCTCAACGGCTATAAACGGTTAGAAACTTAAAATGGTCGGTCGAACTCGTTACCTCGAGGTGACGAGTTTCAAGTGACCGTTTCCCGTCTATCCGTTGATCAACGGCTAGTCTTTTTTGAATTTGAATGAACTCGTCACGTCGACGTAACGACTTCGCCCTAATTTTTCACCATTTTCCATTTATAAATTTCATTTTTTAAAATTATAAAAAATATATTTTTAATGGACTCCTTACCTCGGGGTGACAAGTTATTATAATACCAATAAAATAATAGTCCATGTGGGGACCAATTAAAAATAATAGGTGACGAGTTTGGGGTGCACTGTAGAAAATGTCGTATTCTCCAAAATAAATTCTAGGTAGACCCAATACCCCAAATAATTGATCCGCATGGGATGATGGGCCAAAAAAACCCAATTTAACTACTCATTAACTAACCCACTAAGGGAAGTTACTGGATTAAAAGGATTAATCTAATATCTTCAACATTCTCCTTATTTTCTTTCTTAAAACTTATCAGAACTAATAACTTAATTACATTCTCTGTTGTCAAAATTTTCACTATTTAAAGACTTTAAATTATCTACAGTGTTTTTTTGGGTCTTCAAATCCATTTCCCAATAACAACAATTAAATTTAAATGCCAAATACATATATATTTGATGCAGATCTGTCATCATTTTTTAAGGACGAACCACATGTGTACAGTAAGTTTCCCAAAGCTATTTTAATGTAAAAAACATGATTTGATTTCATCCAACAATAAAATAAATGATATTGCATGTTACACATCTTAAAAGATGTGTAATGGAGCATTTCTGGGTAGAAAAAGGAAGCTTGTGTCTATATTCAATACTGTTACAGTGAGAAGATCCATCCTTTTGAATTACTTCAAATATCAGACTTCTTCAAGAAAGCTAGAGTCTATATTCAATACTGATGCACAGTTGAAGATAGATAGATCCACAGCAACCTGCAATGTCTCTCCGGTACGACGGAGGAGCTACCATCTCTCAAGGTGAAGTTGCAACCGGTAATAGAGATCTGAAACTCGTATCTAAATATATGATTGAGTAACGACTACGAAGATGATGATTTTGCTTTGTTAGATGAGAATACGGATTCGATATGTGAAGAAGACAGAGTGTTTATCGAAATAAAAAAAAAACTTGGAGGAAACTCTCGCAGGATTCGATCCAAAATCGGAATAGAAGCCAGTCTCGATACCATTTGGAACATCTTGACCGACTACGAGAAGCTGGCTGATCTTATTCCAGGGCTTGCTGTCAGCAAAATCGTCGAAAAGGAGGACAAGTTTGCCCGACTGTTCCAGGTCCGTGCGTTCGATCCAATTAAATTTACTTCCGTTTAGAGTTGCCATTGCTTATGCGTTAAACAGATTGGACAGCAGAACTTGCCATTGGGTTTGAAATTCAATGCAACAGGAGTTATAGACTGTTACGAGAATGACGATGAGATAATGCCGAATGGGAAAAAACGTGAAATTAAATTGAAGGTGACTTCACCAGCTTTGAAGGAACTTGGTTGATTGAAGAGGTAGGGATTAGTTATTGGAACTGAATAAATTTCAGTTGCAGAGGGATCATCTAATAACTTCATTGATGATGGGTTGTGCAGTTCAATAAAGGAAAAGGTGAAGACGATGAAGAATGGCAGACAACGCTTTCGTATTTAGTAGATGTAAAGCCCAAGATGTGGTTGCCGGATCGCCTAGTCGAAGGCAGGCTCTCTAAAGAGATAAAGACCAACCTTTCGTGTATACGTGAAGAAGCCAAGAGAGTTTTAACTCCTTGAAATTATTTGTATCTTTTACCCCTCTCTCTGTTCTAAAATCATTTTTCATAATGCAATGATGACTTGGCCTACGTTTCAAGTGTGGAGCACCAAGTGAATTGCAGTCAAACACCAAGCTTGATTGTGTTATCCAACCAATTTGACTCACAATTTGTTATTGCCCTTTGGTTAAACTACATTGAAATTGTCTCAGCACGTATAGAAAGCATAACTTTCTGGGTTTATTTGCACAAATGAGTTTTACAAGGATATTAGAAGAGTGTTATGTGATACACTTAATTTTGATATATATATATATATATACACTAGATTTTAAGATAATAAGATATTATGTATGGATTATTATTTTTTTCATTTATGAAGATAGACAAAATTAAACCACATTAAATCTTGTTTTTTGTGCGTATCTTATTCTATGTTGATCTCAATTCCTTTTTCACTTGCAAGGTATTAATAAGTTATCGCGATCGAGACAAACAATCTAGATGCTCAAATAGACATTAATATTTTACGTGAAACACTCTTTTGAAAAGAAATAGCAAGTAGACGAAGAGAATTTTTACCAATGTTAAAAAATAGAAGAATATAAGAGATTTATTAAAAATTGACTTCACCTCTAACCCTAATTTTTAGTTATAGGGATAATTATTTAATTAAAGGGAAACTAGAAATCAAGACAAATTAAGTTTGTACTCTTCATTAACCCAAAATAAAATAAATTTTGTATTTTCGATCAAACTAAATTTATAAATTTCTTTAATTTTATATTTTTATTAATTTGAATAAAATTAAATTCATATCAAACTCTAATAATCACCGATACTATAATTATCGGTCTCCCTTGTTACTTTCGGCTGATGATATAATAGTTTTTTCATAGCTTACTCGACTTCATTTGAATAGGGGAGTTTAATCGGTTAATTCTGTTAGCCGACCGAATCAAACTACCCAAAATCCATTAATCAAATTTTTTCCCCTTTAAGTGTTAACTGAACAGATTCTTTTTTTTTTTTAATTTTTAATCAAACCGAACTAATTTCTATTAATTGGTCAGGTAACCGAACTAATCAAAACTTATAAATAATATATATTTAATATTTTCAATTTATATGGTTAATTAAGTTAAAATCGAAGTTTAAACACCCATATTAGCTAAATAATATATATAATATATTAAATAATTAATAATTTCCAATTAATTATGTTAACTAACCAATTTAAAATCGAATTAACCAATAACCGAAGTTTTAAAAAAATATTAATTGTTAACCAATTGAACCTAAAATTAACCAATTAATTAACTAAAAAAATTGATACAGTCGGTTAATTCGCGTTTTAACCAAATATGAACACCCCCTCCATTTGAAGACTAAAAGACAAAATCTATGCTTTAACCTTTTTCAAGACTATTCTAGTGGTCATGCTTCGGATTTTAGAGCACAGTAGTTGCAGGAAAGACACATGGGAAGCGGGAACCGCAGATTTTTCCTTATAAGCTACTTCACTCTGGTAATTATCATTTACTCATCAAGTAAAACTGCGTACTTAAAGAATGAAACTTTTAGTTTCCTTCACCCTCCATTAAACTCAAGATGCAACTAATTACATTATCTAAAGCTTACAGTTGCTACAACTAAAATGAAGCATGCAAGATGCAAGAGCTAACTGCTAATGATCTTGTGAAGGCTAAAGGGTAAGCTAAGGCCGACAGGACAATTCAACCACTGCAAAAACAGCTGCTAAACCAATCCATTTCAACAACTTTTTTTTTTGGCTATGAATCTAGGGTTTATGTCTGCATAACTTTATGTCTTACAAGCGCCGTTCGATGCGCTGTCTTATGGAGTTATGGGGCCATTTTCCTAAAGGGAATCGCTTTCTTTGTAGTAGGTACCGGCGTGATGGACACTTATCCTGTTCCCGTTTTGGTTGTAAATGAAAGTATTTTTATAAAAAGATTTGAATCTGAAAAATTATTAAAAATCATAAATGTCCTGATTTGAATTCTAATTCTAAAACTTCTAGACCCCACCAAACTTTGAAAGCTGTTTTTCCCACTTCGGCTTCTCCCAGTGCACTGTGATGCAATCTGAGTTCCTTCTTGGTTGCATATTGTCCCCTTGAACAAGTCTTGAATGGTTAAAATCTGGGGTCGAAGATGGTGAAGTTTTGTCTGCATTTACCAATTGCTTTGCTTTTAAGTTGGAGTAGCCTGTCTTCCAAACTTTAACCTCACATCTACTCATTTTTGTTTTCCATAAATAAAGTAGATATCCCCTTTCTCTTGCAGCAATCGAAGCAAGAACTTTCTCTACTTTTTTCCTTTATCAATTGTCCCTGTGTAGATTGTAATCATCTTCATGGCTGCCATGGTTTCTGCATATGTCTTCGTCTTTCTCGCCCTCTTCGGCATGGTCGCATCTGATCCTGATCTTCTCCAGGATCTCTGTGTAGCTAACAAAGCTGCAGGTACGTTAATATACGATACAACTATGTATGTTGTTTTCTTTCATATATATCTTATGATACTACTGGTGTAGGAATAAAGGTGAACGGATTTCCATGCAAAGATGAGGTAAACGTAACGGAAGCTGATTTCTTCTTTAGCGGATTAGCCAATCCTGGAGTTATCAACAATTCAGTAGGATCAGCGGTGACAGCAGCCAATGTTGAGAAAATTCCCGGACTTAACACCCTTGGAGTTTCACTTGCCCGCATCGACTATCAACCTGGTGGCCTTAACCCGCCCCACACTCACCCTCGTGGCACTGAGATCATCTTTGTTCTTGAGGGTGAATTGGATGTTGGGTTCATAACTACATCAAACAAGTTGATCTCCAAATCCGTCAAGAAAGGCGACGTTTTCGTCTTCCCCAAGGGACTGGTACATTTCCAGAAGAACAATGGTGAGAAGCCAGCTTCTGTGCTTGCAGGGTTCAACAGCCAGCTGCCCGGAACTCAATCGATTGCCGCTACATTGTTTACTTCAACGCCACCGGTGCCGGACAATGTCTTGACCAAGGCCTTCCAAATCGGCACCAAGGAAGTTGACAAAATCAAGAATAAGCTTGCCCCCAAAAAAAGCTAAGCTAAATGAGGCCCATGGCTTTGAGATCGAGGAGGATAGCTAAGGCAGAATCATTATATCGTTCTCCATGCATAACTTTGTATCAATAATATTGGGTCTTCAATTTTCGAACTTCTAAGTAAAATATGGATCAAACCCAACGTTTTATAAGTAATAATAATTGGTGATGAGTGTTGATATTTTACTCTGTTTCTTTGCAATTGAATAAAGAAATTCATGAACAAAATGTTGTTAGTAGCAAAGTGGGCAAATTTGCTTGGATAATGTGTTGGAAAAATCATTTTTTTTATTCGAATGGGGTGAATGTTATAATGTTTGGGGAAGACGTATGGATCACCTGACGTATTTGGCAAAAGACACATGAAAAACACGACCTCTTCTCATTTGTTTGTTTCGAGAAAACGACATAACTTTCATGTGTCTTCATGAAGACGCTAGGTAGTGCAAGTGTCTTCTCTGGTAGAATAACTCTACTTGAAAATTTTAAATTGAATTATCTGTACTTATGAATTTTTTTTATCACTTCCCTAATTGAGACAATGGCCATATTATAATTTGCGTCGGTGAACACCTAATGGAGCCAATGGCTTAACGATCAGATTGGTATGGACTCAGGCAACAAACACTGAATTTGTTCATATTCGAACCGTCAAAGTTTAATCCGAATTTGATTGACTCAAAGCTTTTCTTTAATTATATATCAAAGCTTATTTATTTTGCTTAAATAATATAAGAAAACTTTAGCTGCTGTTGTTTATCTGTAATACATACAGCTTCTTATCTAAAACTGCACGTTGCTTTTGAAGGACTGGCCAAATTGCCAATTAGAAGGCACCACATTGAGAGCTGTACGAATCCTTCCATTGCTGACTTGGACTCTGAAGGACAAGCTCTGACCATTCAGATAGTTGAAGCTCTGCCAATTGGCTCCCCAGTTCCTGGACATGGTTTCCCATTTATTTGTTTTAGAACCCTTTATCCATACCATGGAGATGTCTCTGGTACCCCCTACATTTGATACCAGCACCAGCTCAAAATAGTCCCTCCCGTTCACGGTGAATCTAATGCCACAACTTCTGCATCTAACCCTGCCAACCACAAAACAGATCATTCAGTCCACCAATGCTCAAAATTCAAGTTTCCTGATGGCACAATGTACATACTTCATGTATAGGATCGGTACAATTCCAGCTCTGTAGATGGCGATGGTCTCGAACTCGGGTTTAGACATGTCGAAGTGTTGACGGTTAGGGTTACACCAACCACTGTCGTCACTCGGGAGTGCATAGTTTGGAGGACAGAAGTTGGTGGCGGTGATGTATTTGGCCTCCTGACACCACTGAGGTGCTTTTTGAGCATCACAGACTATCTGATAGCAGCCTCCACATGACGCGCCGTCGTTGAACAAAGCTGTGCTGAGTGCAGCCGTTTTAATCCATAACCATCTACATAAAGATCACCATAGCCGCAAGCTCCACCTAGTAAACCAACATGGTATTTGAGATCAACATAATGAAATACGAAGAGAAAAAAGGGGGGGGGGGTTAAAACTTACCCATTGTACCGGAACCATTAGGGCCACCATAAAATGTTGCAGTGGCTGGTAACCAAATTGCAGCTGCATCTGTTACGTGGAACTTAGTGGAAATTAACCCCACAAGGAGTAGGGCTGTAATGAATAGACAAGCACTCTCTGTTGGTTTTTGGCAAAAGTCCCACATTGGTTGTGTATAAGGAGGAGGGGAAATTCTTTTGTTATAAATAAAGCCCTCCTCCTCCTTAGTTAATCATCCCACAAATATAAGCCTTCTTCTATTTTAAAGGCTATTTGTATTCTTTCTCTCTTTGTAATATTTCCTCTATTAGTGAAATATTTTGGTGTTCTCTTTTATGTCTATTTAATAGCTATTGTCGGGTATAGTTGTTGTCAATTATTGTCCTATTAAAATTACTTGTCTTGGTAGTTCTGTCTAAGGAAAGTGGGTTTTAAGAGGGACCATTGTGACCCCTCCTCTTTCCTGGGAATCTACCTTGGGGTGATTTTTAGTACAATCGTTTTCACACTAGTCACCTAGATAATAGTTTTCACGGTGAATCTGTTATTGGTGGAAATTAACCCGAATTTCACAACAATTGGTATCAGCGCTCTTGGTTTATTTTAGTATGCTCTGTGGTTGCGGCTTAGGCTGATCTTCCACATCAGAAAAATTTCCTTGGGATAATTGACATTCTGCATTGGCAGCTATTAAATAGAATTTGTAGCAGAAATGGCAGACGCTTCTTCATCTTCAATTTTGGCAAGAAATGCTGTGACAAATGTTAGATTTGCAGTGGAGATTTTTGATGGCACCGGTCATTTCGGCATGTGGCAAAGCGAGGTTCTAGATGCCCTATTTCAGCAGGGTCTAGACATTGCTATTGAAGGAGAGAAACCAGATGATGTTGAGGAGAAAGAATGGAAGAGGATCAATAGAATGGCATGTGGTACTATTCGATCGTGTCTTTCTAGAGAGCAGAAGTATGCATTTTCTAAGGAAACTTCTGCAAGTAAATTGTGGAAGGCACTGGAGGAGAAATTTTTGAAGAAAAGCGGTCAGAACAAACTCTACATGAAAAAGAGACTGTTCCGCTTCAACTATGTACCAGGTACCACTATGAATGATCACATTACTAGCTTTAATCAGCTGGTGACTGATCTGATGAATATGGACGTGACTTTTGAAGACGAAGATCTGGCTCTGATGTTGATGGGATCACTTCCTGATGAGTTTGAGTATCTTGAAACTACTCTACTTCATGGGAAGGTTGATGTGTCTCTCAGTGAAGTAACTGCTGCCTTGTATAGTTATGAATTGAGAAAGAAAGACAAACAAGAAAACACAAGTGTCGAAGCAGAAGCTCTTGTTGTTAGAGGCCGTTCCAAGAGTCAGAATAAAGGAAGCAGAGGGAGATCGAAGTCAAAGTCCAGATTGAGCAAAGATGAATGTGCTTTTTGTCGAGAAAAAGGGCACTGGAAGAAAGAATGTCCCAAGCTAAAGAATAAAGGCAAACCTGAAAGGGGGAAGGCTGTCTCAGAATCAAATGTGGTCGAGTATGATGATGGAGATTCAGATTTCGCATTCGCTGCTACGCCATCAACCAGCTGTTCCAGTTCATGGCTGTTAGATTCAGCTTGTAGCCACCATATGACCCCCAATAGAGAATGGTTCTTTGATTTTAAAGAACTAAAAGGTGGAATTGTCTACACAGCAAATAATTCCCCTCTTGACACACTTGGGATTGGTTCAATTCGCTTGAGGAATCAGGATGGATCAATCAGAACCTTAACAGGTGTCCATTATGTACCAGATTTAATGAGAAATCTCATCTCTGTGGGAACCTTAGAGTCAAAAGGTTTAGAAGTGAGGGCAAAAGATGGGATTATGAGGATTATCTCTGGTGCACTGGTGATAATGAAGGGAATCCGAAAAAGAAACAATGTGTATTACTTTCTGGGTAGTACAATTGTTGGGACAGCAGCAGTGGCAGCTTCTACTGATGAACAGGAGTCAGAAGCAACCAGGTTATGGCATATGCGCTTGGGGCATGTTGGTGAAAAATCCTTGAAATTACTGATAGATCAAGGATTATTGAAGGGTGCTCGGGCTTGCAAATTAGCTTTTTGTGAGCATTGCATCAAAGGGAAGAAGACGAGGGTGAAATTTGGAACAGCAATCCATGATACTAAAGGTATTTTGGATTATGTTCATTCAGATGTATGGGGGCCTTCCAAGACAACTTCATTGGGAGGAACACACTATTATGTCACCTTTGTTGATGATTTTTCCCGGAGAGTTTGGGTGTATCCAATGAAGACAAAGGATGAGGTGCTAGGATTTTTCCTTAAATGGAAAAAGATGATGGAGACTCAAACAGGCAGAAAAATCAAACGTCTCCGTACAGACAATGGTGGAGAGTACAAAAATGATCCATTTCTGAAAGTCTGTGAAGAGGAAGGTATTGTTAGGCACTTCACTGTCAGAGGTACACCACAACAGAATGGAGTGGCAGAGCGTATGAACCGGACATTAGTGGAGAAGGTTCGGTGTATGTTGTCTAATGCTGGGTTAGGCAAAGAATTTTGGGCTGAGGCTTTGGTCTATGCTTGTCACCTTGTCAACCGCTTACCATCGACTGCTATTGGTGGTAAAACACCATTAGAGAAATGGTTTGGAGTACCTGCTACAGATTATGATTCCTTACATGTGTTTGGTTCCACTGCATACTACCATGTTAAGGAGTCAAAGCTGGATCCAAGAGCAAAGAAGGCGATTTTTATGGGGATCACCTCTGGTGTGAAAGGCTATCGTCTTTGGTGTCCAGAAACAAAGAAAATAATCTTCAGCAGGGATGTTACCTTTGATGAATCTACCATGTTGAGAAAGGTGACTTCAGAAAAATTGGAGCAGACAGATGGAACTCCCAAAAAGGTGGAGTTTGAAGGAAGCAAATTTGTCCCAACCAGTAAAGAAAATGATGTTGACTCTCCTATGGTAGAAGAAGAGTCAGATGAAGAAGAGGTTCAGACCCAAGAACCTCCACAGCAACATGAATCAATTGCACTCAGAAAGGGAAAGAGGACCATTAGACAACCTGCTCGTTATGCTGATATGGTCTCTTTTGCATCACCAATTGCAATTGATGACGTTCCTGCCACTTTTAATGAAGCAGTTCAAAGTTCAGAACATAAAAAGTGGAGGATTGCCATGAATGAAGAAATGCAATCCCTTCAAAAGAATCAGACGTGGAAACTAGCTAGTCTTCCGAAGGGAAAGAAGGCAATTGGGTGCAAGTGGGTATATGCAAAGAAAGATGGATTTCCTGACAAGAATAACATCCGCTACAAAGCAAGATTGGTGGCTAAAGGCTACGCTCAAACGGAGGGAGTTGATTATAATGAAGTATTTTCTCCAGTTGTAAAACATTCCTCCATCAGAATTTGTTGGCTTTGGTAGCGCAGTTGGATTTGGAACTAGTTCAGATGGATGTAAAAACTGCATTTTTACATGGAGACTTGGATGAGGAAATCTACATGACTCAGCCAGATGGATTCAAAGTTGCTGAAAAAGAAGAGATGGTGTGCAAATTAGAAAAATCGTTGTACGGATTGAAGCAATCTCCAAGGCAGTGGTACAAGCGATTTGA